CCTGGAAGCAATTTAAGGGCCATTTCTTCATCCAGATGAGTGAGGGTGACCTTGGCACTGACAGTAGGGATGGAGGGGACAGGGGTTCGATTTACAAGGGTTTTTCCTGGTAAAATTCACAGTACCTGCTGCTGCTTAGAGGCCGGAGGCCAAGGGCATCAGGAGTGGAAGCAAACTCATTCCTTCACCCAGTAAGATTGAACACCTGTGAACACTAGTCCCTGCCTAGGTGTGGGCCGCCTGAGACCAGCATTAGTTGAGTACTTATCTGAATAGAATTGTTGTTGCAGACCAGGATAAGGGCTGCCAGGGACAACAGAAGTCCCTGTTGAAGTGTGTAATGGGGCCACTTAGTGTGGGGTGTCAAGGAAGGCTCCTGAGGAAGTGACATGTGCACTGAGATCTGTGGCTGTGGTTCTCAGCGTCAGCACCACCTGGGAACTGTCCGCAAGGCAGATTCTCGGGCTCCACCCCACCCAGGATCTAGATCGGGGACCAGCATTGGTGTCTAGCGAGCCCTCCAGGAGATGCTGCTGGTCTCTGGGACAAGGAAGCATTCATAGACGGTGAGGGGAAGGATGAGTGGTCTAGGCAAAGGGCTACCACATATGAAAAAGGCTCTCCCGTGAGAAGGCCACATGGGAGGGACTGTCCTGGGCCAATGCAGTCACTGCACAGAGAACCCAGGAGAGGGACACAGCTGGCGAAGCAGGCACAGCATCCCTAGGGCCTCGTGATACCATTAAGGACTTTGGTCTTTATTCTAAGGGCAATAGAAAGTCGTTGGAATTTGTAAAGCAAGGAAGTAACAGGAGATCAGCATTTTAAAATGATTCTCCTGGGTGATGTGAAGGAAAGGAGTGTATGGNTGAATGTGTATATGTGTGTGGTTGTGCTGTGTGTTATGGGTGTGATGGGTATAATGTGTGTGTGGCAGGAGGGGTATGTGTATGTGGTTTATGTGTGGTTGTATTTGTGTGTGTGTCTGTGTGTGAGATAGAGGTACGGGAAGAGGAGTGTTGGCTCTCCACCTGGAAACCTGAACTTCGGTGGCGTGCACGTGGAGGACCTGCCTGGGTTCCCACACGGTTGGGAGCTGGCATTGTCGCCTGGTTGTCTCGCAGACCCCAAGGCTCTGGTCTTGGGCCTGATAAGCTCGGTGAGGAAATCTGCCTGCCCGTCTGTGCTAACCCTATCGCTCTTTTGTTTTTCAGAATACAGAATTCAGAAATAGTCTATCTTGAAGGAAATGAAGCAAAATAGCTTCAAAACAAACGTCAACAGCATGAAATCAGGCAGCACCAAGGCCAGGTGAGCCGCTTGCTTCTCTCCTGCTCCCGTGTCAGCTGACACTCAGGAGGTTGTGTTGTGTCTTGTGCTGGGTGTCGGGCCCCAAGAGGAAGCTATATGTTTGGTGGTGCGCTGGGTGTCAAGCCCCAGAGGAAGCCGTGTGTTGTGTGTTGGGTGGGCGCTGGGTGTCAGGCCCCGAGAGGAAGCTGTATGTTTGGTGGTGCGCTGGGTGTCAGGCCCCAACAGGAAGCTGTATATTTGGTGGTGCGCTGGGTGTCAGGCCCCGAGAGGAAGCTGTATGTTTGGCGGTGCGCTGGGTGTCAGGCCCCGAGAGGAAGCTGTATGTTTGGTGGTGCGCTGGGTGTCAGGCCCCGAGAGGAAGCTGTATGTTTGGTGGTGCGCTGGGTGTCAGGCCCCGAGAGGAAGCTGTATGTTTGGGTGTTGTGCTGGGTGTAAGGCCTAGAGAGAAAGTTGCTTTGCAGGTTAACAAGGACACCATTATCACTTCCCTCTCATTTTGTCAGTTGTTCACACAGCCAGAGTCTACTAAATGCTGGTTTTTGTGCCAAAATTGTCTGGGAACTTACATCTTCATCATATCAAGAAGCGTCGACTTACAGGTTAAGGTTAAATGTCCTTAGGTTGGTGCCCAGCAGGACTGCAAGTGTAGACAGCCTGGCAAGTTTGGAAAGGGGTTCAGCCACTTTGCTGCAGAGCCCAGACAGCTGCTGTGGGTTATCTCTGCGGAACTCGCACTTGCTGCTCTAGGGGGCGGCAGCGGCACACTCTTCCTCACCAACGACAGGAAACCCGCAGCCTCCTTCCCGCCTGAGCGCTGCCAGCCTGGTGCACTATAAATAGGACGTGTGAGCTCCTGTCTGCTGGGAGCTGGCAGAGCCGAATGGCTTCCAGCTCGCCCATTTCCAAAGTCTGCCAATCAAACCGTTTCTGAGATGGGACAACTGTTTGACAGCCTGTGAGTGCGGTCAGTTTCTCTGACACCCCTTGTTTTCCCGTCGCCAGTTGCCGTATCTGTCATCACGTGAGGTATGGTAGTCTGGAAATGTTCACTAGGTAGGAGTGAATTCTGCAGTTTTTGAAATGAAAGAGAGCACATTATGAACGGAACGACATATGCTTTTTCTCTCGGACCAGGATTCTGGGGCAGCAGGGCCTCCAGGCTGGTAAAATTGTTATAAACCATAGCCCCCAGTTCAGTTAAACTCACAGCCATCGTTGTCTGGACCATTGTCACCAGGTGTGGTCCCTGCTCTCATGACTTTAATGGTCTAACAGGGAGGACAGCCATTGAGCAGCCCCGAGGGTCACAGGCATTAATTAAGAAACCTTTCTGACGCTGGCCACTCAGTCTCAGCGTAGGGATAAGAGTTATGGGTGACGCTGAAACCTGTGCCTTGGATGGCGGGGAAGAGAGTGACGCCCGAAAAGGCCCAGGCGTTGGAGGGTGCTGTGAGAGTGTGTCAGTGTGTGTGTGTCTGTGTTTGGAGGAGGGGAGTGCTGTTTGAATGAATGACAGGGCTGTGAACATCCTTCATTCATTAATTTGATAAATACATTTGGAGGGCCAGGTATGTGCTGGGTACTCTTGGGCACATGGTGTGAAAACATGATTTTATTTTATGGAGCCTATGATCAAGTTTCTAATGTCCTCAATAAAAACTATAGTTCCCAGTTGTGGTAAGTGCAGGGCAGGCGAAGGACAGGTTGTGATACAGGGGGGATAGTCAGGGGATCGGGAGAGCTCTCTAAGGAGGCCTGGCAGGAAGGAGAGGAGTTAGCGGGGTGGAGGGTGGGGAAGGACCCGGGCAGAGGGGCCCGGGGCTGTGGAGAGTGGCGAGGTGGGGAGGGAGAGGCAGGCAGGGGCCAGGTCAAGTGCTGCCTGGTAGCATATTACAGCTAACGCGCTGTGATGCTTTCATTAAAGGACACTGAAGTAAAAATGATCGATCTCCCACCATCCCAGCATGGCTGTCTTTGTCACATCTTCTAGACCCCGCCCATCTGTGCAAATACGTTTTTTACATCATTGTATTTGTAGTGCTTACTGTCCTTTTTCTCTGAACGGTGCCCCGGATCGTGTTTTGGGGTTTCCACGTAGCCTTATTGTTGTCATTTATAGTAGCGAGCTGCTTCTCCGTGAAGGCATGTTGACTCCGAGAGGCCTGCGCTATGTTCTGAGTTTGATTTCTGAGTTTGTGTGTGTGTGTGGATAGACTTGAAATTTATGCTGCAAGGGAAGGTATTTGTTAAAATGACGTTTGGGAGGAAGGTGACAGCCCGTGTGGGGATTGAGGGAACCCTGACGCTCGGAGATCCTTGGCGGAGGACGCTGTGGCTCAGACCGAGGAACCGCCAAGCTGTAAGCTGCGTGCAGGTGAAGGGCAGCTTTAGCCACGGCTTTTCCTGTTAAGTTGAATTCAAATGACGGCCTGTATTGTTCTTTGTGATACCCTATCATTTGAAATATCTTTGTAAGTCAGCTTGTATTCTTCTCACTCCCATGTTTAGATCCATGCACCGGGCTTGCCAGGCAAATGGAAGGTACTGAGGGAGCGTGAGGCTGGCTGGGGGAGGCTGGGACGGGCAAGCTGGACTGGGCTCCCAGTGTCGGGGTGGGAACCCTGGGCTCCTAGTATTAGATTAGGTATTTATGTAGAAGACTTGCCTTTAATTTTCTACACATTGTTGTGAGTAGGTTGCAGAATTGTTAGACTGATTTGCAAATGCAAGGTGTCCATTTTTGAGGCTCGACAGATTTCATTACTCTGTCAATATGTGTGAACTTCATTGTTAGTGATGTGTTTATGTGAGAATGCACACAGATCACACACACACACACTCCTAGCACAACTGTGCAGAAAGCCTAGGATTCAGTTTCGGAGAGCGTGGGTCTTGGCCTCAAGAGTAAATTTACCTTTCCTCTCTCTGGTCTAATTTCCCCACCACTGAAAATGTGAGTAACAGTATCTGACTCAAGGTTGTTACAGAGTAGGTGCTCAGTATCGCCAGGTGAATCTAGTAGGATCACTTAAATATAACATCGGCTGGTCTTTTAACTTCATTTTAACATTAAGCAGGGAAATGTACACATGAGCCTCCTTAAAAAACTGGACTCATACTTATAAGTCAACTTCTGGTTCTTCTAGTGCAGGGATCTCAGCCTTGTTAAAACACAGATGGCTGGGCCTGCCCTGGGTCTCCAGGAGGTCTGGGTGGAGCCTGATGATTTGCATTTTTGAGAAGTTCCCAGGTGATGCTGATGCTCCTGGTTCAGGGACCACATTTTGAGAACCACTGTTTTAAAGCTACTTGTCTGCCTCACCAGCCTTTTGAAACTACTTTTTTTAAAATGGAAAATAAAGCATTTAAAAAATAATGGTATTAATAGCAATAAAAAAGCATGTTATTTCTGCTTGAGGAATCTACAAATGGATTAGCTCTGTCCCCCTGGAGATGAACTGATGATGACATCTCTTGGGGAAGGACTTTCATCTGTCCCCTGAGATAAGGGGGTTCTGTTCACTTTCCTCAACTCTAGGGAGGCGATGCGTCTCTGAATCTGTACACACTGCATCGTGTAGTTGGAGATGCTGTGCAGATACCCTCTCCCTTTTTTTTTAAACACGCTGCCATTTTCTTTAAATCCTGAGTCAGATGGTGAGCTGGAGCGTTGGGAGGGCAATGCTTCTCATTCTGTTCCTCACCCTCACCAGTGTGTGGCCTGCAGGGTTCACAGGAATGAACCACCGAGAGCGTAGCTCTTGGAAAATGCTTACACTAGGGATGTTTGGGTCGAACTCCCAGACAGGCTCCATTTCCAGAACTACCCCCATTCGGCTCCATGGAATATTCATACTGTAACTGAAGTTGCACTTGCCTCTATGATCTGATGTTGGTGGAAATCAGAACTGGAGAGGGCCCACCAGGTCACCCAGTCCGTCCTCCCGCTGGGAGGGGACACTTCCCCACAGGGTACTCAGTCGTACTGGGAGGAATCACTTTTCAGATGATGATTGTTTTTTTCACGCCATCTTCTACTAAGTGTTTCTTGAATTGAACCACTTTGTATTCAAGTAATAAAGTGCACAACAGGCAGTACATTTCTGGGTGATTATCTCACTCCTCAGGTGGTGCAATAAGGCAGGAGGCCAAGCCCTGGTGTGCTGATTGTTATTAGGAAGTGAATTTATGGGTGAAATAAAGTGGTTATTTGCATCAGCAGTGAGTGCAATGAGGAATCCAGTTGTGGCAGATCCTCCCTGCGTGCTCCATGAGCTGGTGATTAATTTTGTAAAAAGAGTAGGAAAGCCTTGGCCGTTGCCAACCATGCAAACTGGATGCCTGGGAAGCGCTCTCCTCCTGGACCCGGCCCTGGGCTTAGTGGTTGTGTAATCCTGGGCAAATTGCTTGCCTGCTCTGAGCATCAGTCTCCTCACCTATGAAATGGGGTGAGTAAAAAGTGATCTGGCATGGGGAGGGTTAAATGGCAAGTTTTCGCAAATCTTAAGCACCTCTCCTGGCTCAAAGTAAGTCCCCAATAAACACTAACTGAATTAGAATAACTTTTTCCCATTCTTATTCTTCATAAGGCTGAGTTTCTTGTCTCTTAACCTCTTCAGTCTTGTCCAGTGATCTCAGGTACTCCCATAATTCCCATCATTCTTGGTGCTCCTTCCTGAGCAGCATGTGACATGTCACTTACCTTGCACACACCCTCACCATGTGTATCACACTTGCCTTTCAAAACTCTGTCCCAATTAAACCCAACTCTCCACTTCCTTGTGCAGCCAAACGTGGCTGGAGGAAAACCACACAGCACCACTGGGTCCTGGCTTTTAAGCTCATGTCCATGGACCCCAGGTGGGCTCTTAAAACTCCCTGGCAATCACCCTTCCTTTCCCACCCCCCTGCTGCCTTCTCTTCCAGACAGCTGTTTCATTCTTTATCGGCTTTCCTTAACCCTGAGTCTCTACTCCCTGTCCTTGCTGCTGCTGACCTGGCTTCCTACTTCACGTGGAATTGTTTTCTTAATTTTAATTTTCAGGTTGTTCATTGCAGGTATGTAGAAAAACAGTTGATTTTTGTATATTGATCTTGTATCCTGTAACCTTCCTGAAGTTGTTCTAACAGTATTTTTTGGCGTAGGATTTTCTGTATCCAAAATTATGTCCTTGGCAAGAAGTAGTTTTTATTGGTCTCCAATCTGATACCTTCGGATTTCTTTTTCTTGACTAATTTCTCTGGCTACAGCCTTTAGCATAGTGTTGAATAAAGGGGGTAAGAGCAGACATCCCCATCTTGCTTCTGATCTTAGAATGAAAGCTTTTCTTTGACCATTAAGTGTGATGTGAGCTGTTGTTTTTTAATTAATGGCTTTTGTCAGGTTAAGGAAGTCCCCTTCTGTTCCTAGTTCCTAATGTTCTTTTTTGGTTTTGGTTTTGGTTTGCTTTTTAACCATGGGGGGCGGTGTCGAGTTTTGTGGAATGCTTTTTCTGTACTCATCGAGATGTGTTTTTTCTCGATTCCATAGATGTTACATTGATTAGTTTTTATGTCTTCAACCATCCTTGCATTCCTGGGACAAATCCCACTTGTTCGTGCCATCTGATTCTGTCTGTATATTGCTGGGCTTAGTTTATTAGTATTTTGATGAGGATTTTCCCTGTATTCGTCAGGAACCGGTCTTTAGCTTTCCTTTCTTTTGGTGTATTTTCTTGGTTGGCATCAGGGTAATACTGACTTCATACAGTGTGTTGGGAAGTGTTCCCTACTCTTTTGTTTTTTGGAAGAATTTGTGAAGGGGTTGTTTTAATTATTCTTCTTTAGATGTTTGGTAGAATTCACCGGGAACCCATCTGGTCCTAGGAATTTTGCAGTAAGTTTTTTGATTACTAATTCAGTCTCTTTGCTTGTTATGGGTCTATTCAGGTTTTTTATTTCTTTAGTCAGTTTTAATAGTTTGTATCTGTCTAATAATGTTTTCATTTCATATAAGTTACCTAATATGTTGGCATACAATTAGTATTCCCTTGTAATCCTTTTTGGTTTTGGAAGGTCAGTAGTAGTGCCCTCTTTTATTCATAATTTAAATAATTCGAGTATTCCTTCATTTTTTTTCTTGGTCAGTTTAGCTAAAAAATTGTTAGTTTTGTGAATCTTTTCAAAGAACCAGAGATTCTGCCATATTTTGTGAATCTATGGTCCCTAGACTGTTGCTCACCTCTGGTTAACTCCCAGAGTTTTGAAACAGTCCCGTGTGGCCGGTTCTTGTTGTTTTATGAAGGTTTTCAGAGGTCAGCTCTGCCCCACTGTGGGGTGGATGTACAGTGAGGCACTTCTAGAAGCTGATTCCAGACTTTCCACCCTCATGCCCGCCAAAGAAGTGGTGCATGCTAGTTGGGATGCAGGTGGGTTTCCTGTCCAAAGCTTCATTTTCCTATGTTGAAGATTGTTGGATGGACCTGCTAAAAACAGGAGGTCTGACATCACGATTTTGGGTTCACTGTAAGAATGGTCTTTGCAGCAGCATGTTATGGCCTCCGCTGCCCTTTCAAAAAGGCCCGGGGAGGAGGCTGGCACACGTGTGGTGTCTGCTTGAAGGTGATGTAATCTCTTCTCTTTTGCATCGCAGGGAGTTAATGTGTGAAGTGGCTATGGCACCAGGCTGGCGCGCTGCGTGTCCTCATACACAGAAATGCACAAACTTCAGGCCCCACTCTTCACCCTGCCGAGTCTGTTCAAGAAACCGTCTCCAGAATGCGCTCCGGCCGTCTTCCAGTGAGTGTCCCTGGGCCAGCAGCAGTAGCACCGTCGCTCACGCGTGTTCAGTGCACCAGACTGACTATGCGGGGGCGTCTCAGCACCGGCCCCTCACAGAGCTATGGAGGAGGCTCTGTTATTATCCCTGGAAAACTGAGACACTTGCCCAAAAGTGACAGTTTTTAAGGGACAGGATTGTGATTTGCACCCTCCTTCCCTCCCTTCCTTCCCAAACATTTTTTGAGCCCTAGGTTGACAGGAACTGTCACAGGTTCGAGGAGGAGGAGGTGGGCCTAGGGGAGGAGCTGCCTGGATGAGCCAGCTGCCCAGAGAGGGAGATAGGGCGTTCCAATCGTGCGAGACACGTGTTGCACAGACGCCTGGGCAAAGCACTGAGCGCATAGCCCAGGAGCAGTATTCGGGGAGGGAGGGGCACGGTGAAAGGGTGAATTGGATTTTGCCTCATGAGTGGGGAAGGCAGTCAGAAGTCACATTTGACAAGGTGTGCGCACTCACAGTTGGCGAGACTTTAATCACATGATCACACGCATCCACTAGGGAGCCTGGGAAATACAGACTCCATGCCAGGTGGCCAAGCATCTACCCACATCTTAGGGTTCCTGTTTCTAGGGAAAAGGGGGAGAGTGGATAGTGAGGGTCGACTAGCCATTTCCAACAGAATGATTCATCTGTAATGAGTCTGTCCCAGTCCAGCAGCTCCCCGTCTGTAGTGTCCTGCGGCTGCAGCTTAGTTTAACCGAGGCTCTGATGGTACCAAGAAGACGGGCTGCTGGGTCAAAGGGTGTCCCACACTAAGGTCTTCCACTCGCCCCCAGGAAGCTCACACCTGTGCACACCACGGGATGCTCAGAGGTGCTTAGTCCCGAGCATCCTAACAGAATGTTATCTTTTCACACCATGTCCTTTGAAACCCAAAAGCAGCTCTATCGTGAGTTTAACTTGCGTTTCTCTGAGAGCAGAGGTTGACTTTCTCACGCTTCTCTGGCTTATACCTTTTCTTTGGTAATCAGCCTTTTCATATCCTTTGCCCGCTTACCTGCTACGGGTTGGTCTTTTCAGTGATTTGTATGAGCTTCCTTTACATTGAAGATATTCTTTATCCGCCTTACGCACACCAGCGTCTTTGTTCATTTATCATTTGCTTTCTGTTTTTATTAATGGTATTTTTTAATGTACGGAATTAATTTTTCTTAAAGTAAAAAATTACATATATATATATGCGCATGTATATATATATTCTCCTAGCAGCATTTCCCTTCCCTGAGGTGGTTGCCATTTCCTGTTTGGCCGGCCGCACTTTCATGCCTGCACAGGTGCATGTAGCTATGTCCTTGTCTAACTCATGTATTACATGAGCAGAGCCCGTGGGTGAGCGAGAACCTGTCAGTCACAGGAATTAGACGCCCCATTTCTTTTTCAAACGTTTTTTGCTTTTTGTTTGTTTCAGTGTGAATAATTTCTATTGACCTGACTCTCTGTTCACTAGTTCTTTCTTCTAACATGGACAGTTTGTTATGAGGCAGATCAAATAAGTTCTTCACTGCTGATACGTATTTTTATTTTCTCACTTTTTTGTGTACTTTTTAAAAAGTTTCTGTTTCTCTGCTGAACCCCCCTGTGTTCAGCATGGTGTCAGTTTTTCTGTCATCTCTAACATATTTACCAGTCTTAGTTTATACACCTGATCACTTTCACACCTGTTCACTCTGTATGTCTTTGTTTTTGCCCTTCATTCCGTCACCTTTCTTATTTCACTTGTCTTGTAGTTTTAAAAAGATTGAAGACCAGACATTTGTGTAAAAAACAAAAACTGTAGAAACGGAAGTAGCTAACATTCCCCATCTGCAGAAGGAGTGCGCCTTCTCCCAGGCTCCCTACAGATGGGCTGCTCCATGCTCTCAGGCGAACTGGATCTGGGCTGGTTCCAGTCTCAGTTAGACGTCCGGGACCACTGGTTTCAGGTGTCTCCCTTCAACATTTGATGCCTGAGCACTGGTGAGATTCCAGAGATCTCTGTCCCACAGCCTGGCTGTCAGCTGGGCCTACTGGGGAGCTCTGTGCTTTCCAGTCCACCTGCCGGTTTCGGTGTCCTGGAGAGTTCTCTGCCCCCAGCCCAGCCCCGAGCTCTGCCCTCCGCCCGGCCTGCAGTCAGTCTGCAGCAGGCTGCGAGGCGCATCAGCGAAGGCCTGTTGGCTCCAGAGGGACTGGCCTCAGCTCTCTGTCCTCAACGTTGGTGGGCGCTGCCCTACACTTGCTGGAGACCCTGTGTGCCCTGGGCATATCCCACAGCTCTGTGCCCCTCCCCCGGCTTGGGATGATACTTAGGACACATGTGAGGGCCCAAGAGGGCAGGAGTGTTTGCTCTGTGACTGGGTTCCCAGGGTGTGAATCCCTCGCGCAGCACACATGACTGCTAGTGGTTGACAGGTTTCCTTACCCCGTTCAGAGCACCTTTGCCTTTCTCCCTGGGGCTCGGCAGGGGTGCAGGGGTCCTGGGCCTTCTGTCTCTGAGGGTCTGTGGACTCTCTTGTCTGCTTCAGCGCCTCTTTAATTCACTCCGAGGTCGCCACGTTAGGGAGCCTCCATTGACACTGGCCTGAGCTGTAATTACCCAGCTGTAATTACCCTTGTCCATTGGCACCCTTCTGTTCCTCCTCCACTGACACCAGGGTGAGGTTCAGGAGTGAAAATTGGGCTATGCCATCCTGTTGCCGCAAAGCCCCCATGGCACCCCCTAACCAGAGCACAGGCTGGCGGCGGAGGCACGACCGGCTCCTGCTGATGTTCGTGGTCTCTTTTCCTGGTGGCTGCCTGCTCTGCTCATCCCTCCTTCCCCCCTGTGCCCGGGCTGGCTGTCCTCCACAGCACCCCCGGGCCAACGCCTCTCCTGGGAACGCCAGGTTGCAGGTGATGTGTCACCTCTTTCCTCCAAGAAGCTTTTCCTGCAACCTTCCATCCTGTCACCCCGCATTGAGCACCCTGAGCACGGGGTCTCCAGTTTACCCCGTTACTTACTCCCCTCCCTTGAGGGGGCTTTGCTTGTGCTCAGCCCTCTGTGAGTGAACAGGGAACATGAGCAGCGCTGGTACCCACAGCCCCAGGAAGGAGGGACATGGTCCCCAGGACCTGCCCCCGGCAGACCTTCACATGGTGTGACTGGGGACACCAACACAGTCAGTCTTACCACCTCGACCAAGGACATCTTACAGCGTGAGGGACTCCCCCAGGGCCCACTGCGGAGGGCAGGCTGGCACTTGGAGAGCCTGTCCTTTGAGCCTGTCATCTGGCCCAGGTCACCCAAGACTTAAGCCATCCCTGCCCTCATCTGGGAGGGTTGAACAGCTTGATAGGACACTCTCATGGAAGGATAATGACAGTCCTCCTTCCCTCTCCCTGCTCGAGAAGAAGCTTATGGAAGACGATGCCATGCTAGGCATTTAGCACACATCCAGAATTTACTGCGTGAGACAGAGACCAAGTAAACTGTGGTCACTAAGCCTTTGCAGTGTCATAGATAAAAGGAGAGATTTACCGAACTACCGTTACTCTTAGCCGCCTCCCCTAGTATGTCATAAAATAAAAAATACGATAATCACGTCTTCTTGCTTATGATACTGGTTGGTACTGTGAGTTGATTTGTAGTTACTGTATTTTCTTAGTGATGTCAACTTGTTTCTACAGCAGTTTGCATCTTGGGCAGAGGGAAGGGAGGCCTGTGTTGTATCCTCTCTTCTGTGGTAACTGGGGGACCCAGGGATCTGACTCAGTGCAGCCAGGACACCACTCCTCTTCCGCCGGGCAGGGCAGGTCCCCGAGAGCTCATTCGAAGCACCCAGCATCCTCCACTGCCTCTTAGCATCTGCTGATCTCAGTTATTCCTTGTCTTTGACAGGGAACTGATCTAAATTTAAGAATTATGTTTTTCCCTCGAAAATTAACAAGAGGATGAAAACTCAGTATGATTCTTTAAATATGTTTTTATTGAGTTTTAAAGATAGAGGAAGGGAGAGGGGAGAGAGAGAGAAACATCGATGCTGAGAGAAAAACATTGATGGGCTGCCTCCTGCATGCCTCCTACTGGGGATTGAGCCAGCAACCCGGGCACATGTCCGACTGGGAATCAAACTGGTCACCTCTTGGTTCATTGGTCGATGCTCAACCACTGAACCACACCAGCTGGGCAGAACTCAATATGGTATTTTAAAGATTGATTTGAAATGACATTGATTCCCAACTAAGTTTTATCCCACTGTTCCTGTTTTTCACTTGTAATGACATACATCCTTTATAGGGGAGATTATCTTTGCCTTGTTTTTTCTCTCTGATGTTATTACTGTCATTTTATAGTGATCAGATTTCAGAGGTGAAAGGGTGGCAGCAGGCTTGACCTGGCAGGCGAGTCATCCCATGGTCAGATGCACAGATCTGGATAGAGCAGACACATTGTCAGAGTTTGTTTGATCCTAGGACACAGTGGAATGGTTTTGGTAGCTTAGCTTTACGCATGTTTAGTAAATAGCTGTTTCTCTTTTACAGCCACAGCTGTTGCAAATCCAATACTGTCCTTCTTAGAGGTTAAACGGATTTTATTTAAAAAAATTACCGATAAAGGAGATGAGTTGATAAAAGCCTTTCAGCTGCTCGATACCAGTCACAACATGACGGTGTCCAAGAGTGAACTGAGGAGAGTCATCACCACCTTCCTGCTGCCTCTCACGCGAGAGCAGTTTCAAGACGTGCTGGCCCAGGTACAGTCCGCGTAGTGACCTAGAATAACCTGGCCCGGGTACAGTCCGCATAGCGACCTAGAGTAGCCCAACTGGACAAGGAGGAAGTGGATGGCAGGAGCTGTAGCCCAGTCTGACTGTCCCCCATTGTCACAAGTAAGCAGTTAAAGTTTTATTTTTCATAATTAATTAAATTTGGGCAGATTTGGGATGATCTGTGTGAACTTTGGTCATAGCACTGTTACAGTGAATTTCTTTTAGTTTTTTTCTTGTAAGGCTTGCAATGTATAAAGTATTCAGTCAACTTACATTTTGGAACTTGGTACAGATGCTCCTTGACTTACAAAGGATTTACATCCTGATAAATCCATCATAAGTGGAAAATATCCTAAGTCAAAAATGCACTTAATACACCTAACCTATGACCATCACAGCTTAGCCCAGCCCACCTTAATTACTCAGGACACTCACCTTAGCCTACGGTTGGGCAGAATCCTCTAACACACTGAATACAGTGGAGAGTGTTGATTGTTGAGCCCCGGGATCGCGTGGCTGACTGGGAGCTGCGCCACTGCCCAGCATCACCAGAGAGTGTCACTAGCCCCAGAAAACAGCAAAATTCAAAGTATAGTTTCTATTGAATGTTTATTGCTTTCACACCTTCATAAACTTGAAAAGCCATAAGTCAAACCATCATAGGTCAGGGGCTGTCCATATTTTGGCATTCTTGCATCCCATGGTTATTGAGTATCTACTATATGCTCTACCGAATATAGAGCAGTCAGATCCTTTGAGGGGATTCCAGTCCAGTGAGGGAGCTCTGAAAGTATTGATAAGTGCTAGGACAGAACAGTTAAAGGCTGTGGGAGTTAGAGGAGGGAGTGCTACCTAAAAATGAGGTGTGGTAGTCCAGGAGGGCTCTTGGGAGGAGGGGTACTTAGCTCGAGGGGAAAAACTCTGCCCACATATACATACATTTACATCTACATTTATTTCTGTTTCAATCTTATTGAAAACCATGAGTTCACATCAATCCTGCCAAGTCTAATTCAATACCTTAGGGTTCATTCTAGTTTTCTTGCTTTCCATGTTTGTAACTAACTTTCAGAAAATGAGAAACTTGGCTTCTATTAGAATACCTAGTATATTTCCTTATTTGTTCAGTCTCCCTGCCATGTGATTCATGTCCAGTTTTCAGCATCCTCGCTTCCCTCTCTGGGCAACCATGGGTCCTCCCACACTGCGGACACTACTTCTCTGCCCCACCTGATGACTTCAGAACTGAACCATCAGGGGACAGACAGGGAGGAAGGGGAGGGGGAGAAAGATGAAGAGCATTTTTCTTTTAAAAAAAGTCTCCCCTTTATTCACTTCCAAAATTCTACAAATTGTAATATTGACTCTTTCACGTTATACTTTATTGTATGTACATTTTATTTATTTTTTTATGCCAAGTTTATTTTTTATTTTTATTGAATTTATTGGGGTGACATTGGTTAATAAAATTATATAGGTTTCAGGTGTACAATTCTGTAAATACATTGCAAAGTGGCAGGATACAAAATAAAAATACAGAAATCAGTTGCATTTTTATACAACAATAATGAGCTATCAGAAAGGGAAACTAAGAAAACAGTCCCATTTACAATTGCACCAAAAACCAAACAAACAAAAAACAACCTAGGAATAAACATAACCTAGGATGTAAAGGACCTGTACTTAGAAAATTATGAGACACTGAAGGAAGAAATTGAGGAAGATATGAGTAAGTGGAAGCATATACCATGTTCATGGATAGGAAGAATTAACATCTTTAAAATGTCCATACTGCCCAAAGCACTCTCTAAATTCAGTGCAATTACTATCAAGATACCATTGGTGTATTTCACAGAAGTAGAAAAAGTATATGAAAATTTTATATGGAACCACAAAAGACCCTGAACAGCCACAGCAATCTTGAGAAAGAAGAATAAATTTGGAGGAATCACGCTACCTGATACCAAACTATACTACATGCCATAGTAATGAAATTAGCATGGTTCCGGCATAAAAACAGACATATAGATGAATAGAACAGGACAGAGAGCCCAGAAATGAACCCGGGCCTTTATGGTCAATTAATATGTATGTACATTTTAAATAAAAGCTTTATTAAGATATAATTTACATTCATAAAATTCAGCATTTAAAAATGTACGTTAGTGGTTTTTAATATATTCACAGAGCTGTGCAACCATCATTGCTATCTAATTCTAGAACATTTCCATCACCCCAAAAAGAAACTCCATCTTCATTAGCAGTAAGTCCTCATTCCTCCTCCCCCTACTCCCCGACAGCCATTCATCTACTCTGTCACAGTGGATTTACATATTCTGGACATTTCCTATAAGTGGAATAATATAGTATGTGATGTTTTGTGTCTGGCTTCCTTCATTTAGCATAATGTTTTCAGGGTTCCTCCATGTTGTAGCACGAATCAGTACTTTACTCTTTTTTTTTTTTTGTAAAATATATTTTTTAACTGATTTCAGAGAGGAAGGGAGAGGGAGAGATGGAACCCGCAACTGGGGCATGTGCCCTGACTGGGAATCGAACTGTCACCCCCTGGTTCATTGATTGATGCTCAACCGCTGAGCCATGCTGGTCGGGCAGTACTTCACTCTTTTTTATGGCCAAATAATATTCCATTGTATGGAGAGGCCACCTCAGTCTATCTCCAGTTGATGGACCTTTGGGTTGTTTCCACTTTTTGGCTTTTGTGAACAGTGCTGCTGTGACAATTCATGTACAGGTGTTTGTGTGGACATAGGTTTTCCCTCTGGGGTACATACGTGGGAGCAGAATTGCTGTGTCATATGGTAAAATATTCTTTAGCTTTTAAAGAACATTTGCCCTTGCAAACAGTGCATCAGTTTTTTCATGCGCTTGATTTAACTGACAGTTTATACCAAATGGAGAGTAAAAATATTATTTTCTGTTAATGTCTCCTATATTCATGATCTAATGTTAATTTAAAATTTTGACAATCTTCCCAAGCTAATCAGCTAGGCAGGAAGAGGAAAGGTACAGGAAATGTGAAATGTGTGTCTGTTTTTAAAAGCTACATCTGTCTTTAAAAGAAGTTACTGAGAACTGTTGAACTTCAAAGATTAAAAAAACAAAACAAAAAACAGGTCCTAGTAGTCTATCCTAGATGACGAGCATGTTTTTCTAGGACCATGAGCTCCTGTGACCCCTGTGTGAATCAGGGAGGCTGGAGCCTGGTGCCTTGAACAGGAGGCCAAGTTCACCGGGAGTGATGGGCAGGCCTTCTCTTCCCAATCCCTGGAGTCCAGAGAGCGTGTGACTTTTCTAGATCTTGCAATGACAAATCTATGTGGTGATACAGATTTTCTTTTCTGACAGTTAATGTAAGCCTAATGGGAAACGTGTAACGCCGGCAAAATAGTTCATGGGAATTTCCCAGTTAGAGTGAATTTACTTGAGCTTTAATTATATTTCAAGATCCATGCTGAGCATGTTTGACTGTTGGGAGGTTGTGATGATTGATCAGGGCCTGTATCTTAGTTTCCATTAATAGGAATGTGAATTTTAAAAAAAAATGTGGCCGCAGTCTCTGAATATTAATGTAAAAATGTTAAAAGAAGTTGACATGGTAAATAGATTCCAGAGAAGGAAAGAAGAGTTCTGCCTGATTCCTGTGGTTGTGCCAGGAGGGAAAGATATGTCTTTGAAGGTAGTTATCAATGCGAAAACTGGTTTTCAAACTGCCC